TCGACACTATTCCGACACTCTTTCGACACTTTTCCGGGTGCTCGACATTATTTCTGGGATGTGGTCCTTAAGTACGGTGGGAGCAACATAATTGTCCCTCCCTCTCCCAACATATTGCGCTGGAAAGCAGCATTCGCGAGTGCCGTGCTGCAGCTTACCGAGGGACCGGTGAGCTTACAGTTTCTCGACCTGCAGCCCGGATAAGATAGACTGGGCACGGGCGCGCACGGAGACTCCTGAGTACACCTCCTCCTCCTCCTCATCCTCCTCCTCTTCCTTCTCCTCTTTCCCCTCCTCTTTCCCCTCCTCCTCCTCATCCTCCTTTTCCTCCTCCTCCTCCTCCCCCCCCTCCCCCTCCTCCTCCTCCTCCTCCTCCTCCTCCTCCTCTTTCCCCTCCTCCTCCTTCTCCTCTTCCTCCTCCTCCTCCTCCTCCTCCTCGTCCTCCTCCTCCTCCTTCTCCTCCTTCCCCTCCTCCTCCTCCTCCTCCTCCTCCTCCTCCTCCTCCTCCTCCTCCTCCTCCTCCTCCCCCTCTTCCTCGTCCTCCAGAGGAAGCCAGAGGAGTGGAGGAGGTGGCCAGAGGACAAGCAGGATGAGATTCGAGAGACACCAGGATGGTCCGATGAGGTCGCGGACCCCTTCGCAGATCGTGAAGATCACATCGAAGAGGAGCAGCTGCAGCAGTCAACAGAAGGCTTCGAGGCGGAGGTCCCTGACGAGCCCAGTGAGCATGACGCGGACCCCGTAACCAACATTGTGGTAGACAGGACCTCGCAACTAACAGAGCGGACCCACACCCTGGGAAGCCGACAGACTGAACGCGAGGGGGAGGGCTTGGCCCGCGGATGCCACGTGAACCGCGAACACAGCGAGCGGCATAGTCGGGGGACATCGCCCGAGCCTGAGGGCAGCAGCATCGAGGATGACCTGAGGAGAATCCGAGAGGTGGCTGCTGGAGTGATCGAGAATGGCGACCACGCCGCGGTGCTCGACAGCGACCTGGCTCCCCCGCACGCTGACCCCCTCCCACCCCTGGGACCAGGAGTGCCCAGAGGCCCCTCCAGGAGGGATAATGGGAGGGGCGAGCCCCGCGCTGGGAGACGCACGCTGGAGCAGGCGGACGCGCTGGACAGGCACGGCAGGCCCCTCCAGAGGCGGAGTGAAGCGGAGCGGCGAGCTGCCAGTAGCCAGGAGGCTGCAGCTGCCGCTACACGCTCCCCGCCCAGGCCGCCCAAGCCCAAGATGAGCGAGCAGGAGGCAGAGGAGAGGGCGACGCGGCTGCTGGAGGTGGCGGCTGCGCCGAGAGCTCTGACTAGACAGTGCCAGCAGAAGGAGACAATCCTGAAGCCCAAGCAGGTCGAGCCAGACGACAGCCAGAGGAGAAGTGAGGAAGCCAGGAGGGCGCTGGAGGCCGCCAGGGAGAGAGCGAGGTCAAGCCCAGCCGCGACGGCCAGGGAATGCAGCCCGCCCAAGCCCAAGGCGCTGCCGATGGAGACGCTTAGACAGCTCCTGGCGGGGCCCACACCACCGCCCCAGCCACCAGTGGGAACGAGGAGACCCGCGCGGAGGCCAGCCCCGCCAGGAGCGCCCGCAGGAGGGCGGCTGGCCCAGGGGCCGCTGTGCGGGAAACGCGCCTCGCCCGCTGGAGGAGGAGGGCCTTGCTGCGGGCGGGCACAGCGGGCGCCGCAGGCGCGGCCCGACGCGCCCCCAGGCGCGGGGCCAGGCCGCCCGCGGGCCGCCGATGCCGTCGCCGCCGCCCCGAAGACGCCCTGAGGTGGGCGGGCGGCGGCGCGGCGACTCTCGACTTTGTCGTCAGGGGAATGTCCAGGAATTTCCTCGTCCTCCTCCTCCTTCCCCTCCTCCCCCCACTTCTCCTCCTCCTTCTCCTCTTTCCCTCTGTCATTCCGTCGCCTCATCCTCCGCTTCCTCCCCTGAGGTGTTCTTCTAACTCACTTCGGGGTTCTGGTCAACCGTCAACATTCTACTAAAGTCCGCGATCGGAGGCGAGGGTGCGAGATCGACGTGGAACGGCGAGCCCCCCACCAGGACATCGGTTTCGGTGTCGGGTTCGTGTCGTGCGTGCGGGGGCGAGGCGAAGCTGCGTGGGCGGGGGAGAGGACTGAACCCTCTTCTGGCTACTTAGGGCGCCGCGAGGACAGAAGTCCGCGCCCCTGGCCGAGTCGCGGGCGGGTGCCAGGGACATCCCGACGTGATGTCCCGATGGTGTCCTGCTGGTGTCCAGCTGTGCCCCGCCGTGGTGTCCTGATGGTGTCCCGCGGTGTCTCGCGGTGTCCCGTAGTGTCCCGCGGTGTCCTGCGGTGTCCCGTGGTGGTGTCACGTTGTGTTCCGTGGTGTCCCGTGGTGTCCCGCGGTGTGCCGCGGTGTCCCGCCGTGGTGCTCCGATGGTGTCCCTTGGTGTCCCGTGGTGTCCCGTGGTGTCCCGCGGTGTCCTGTGGAATTCGCGGTGTCCCATGAAGTCGATAGTGAGATCGATAGCGATGTC